AGATTAGTATTTTCACTATGACCCTGTAGGGAATGTCTTTATATATCCCCCAAGACATAGGTAAGATTCATGTAAGAAGGTAATGGTGTCTTCGGGGGATAGTTCAAAGTCAAGATTTTCGTCTTCTTCGACGAAGCATTTGAGTGGGCAAGAGGAATTTTTCTTTCTTATTTATTCGCTTAAGATTTTAGTCGGACCATTAGTAACTAATATTAAGCGTAACCGTTCAGAAATGAGTGACGGCCTATAGGGCGAAAATGATGCATTCTTGAATCAATTTATCCACTGGGGAACGTTTAAATTTGATGGTGCGAGACACGAAGAAAGATCTATTTTTTAAAAATATTCTGTCCTTTAATTGGTTATTATAATTTTTTTTTTGTTTTTGTTTTAAAGAGGAAATTCTTCATCTCTTCCTCGGCGCTTCGACGATATAAATGCTTTTATTAGTAAATGAATATTAAATATAAAGCTTACATTTATGGCTTTTTTGGTTATAAATCGAATTTAATTAATATTATTAATTAACTTTTAAGCTCTTTTAATAATTAAATAAATAAATTCCGACGGAAAAATAAACCGTTTCATAATCTTCCATTAGTAAATTTGCATATGGCTTCTCTTACCACTTATTAGAATGAAAATTAATGATATTTAAAAGAATTTAAATAAAAACAAATATTTGCTTGATAGGACCCATTTCATGTAAACTTCACTTCTTTTTTTCTAATTGTGATCATTTGTTAACCTCATAATGGCCTCTGCAAACATTTTTTTCTCCTCTTAAGATGTCATCTTTAGTGTAAAAATATGAAAGATGGATTTAATCGTTTAATCCGTGTAGTTTTATTATTAATTCCCACTTTTCTTATTCATCTAAAGCAGGAAAAAAGAAAGGTCTTCAATTCATGGCAATGAAATGATTTCGTTCTTTCTAAGAATATTTCCCTATCTTCCTCCTCCTCTTCTTTTTTTTCCCCTAGAATCTAATTAAATTCTCATGCACTTTCTAGTATAAATTAATTAATTTATCTTTCTTTTTATTGTTTAAAAAATGAATAATGTTATAACAAAACTGTTCACAACTTCATAAATCTTATTATCCTTCATAAGATGAGTTCTACAATTGGTTATTCTTATGCCCTTAGAATTATCCATCATTTTTGAATTAACAATATTGATTTTTCTCATTAAGTGAGTTTTTAAAATAAATATTTTAATGTTGAAAGTTTTTCCTTCTCATTTTCTTAAAATTTTTATACTTTTCTTGATTAATTTTTTTTTAATTGAAAATTATTATCAAATCGAAAATGTAGATTTTTAAATGATTTTTTAAAGCAATGACTAAGTATTTTCTTATTGCTTTGTTTGGAAAAACTTAAGAAATATTAAGTAAAATAATATATGTTTTAGGTAATATATTAACAAAATACTTGAATAAACTCAATATTTTACAGTATATATTACTTTCTTTTATATTTTTTTCAACAAAAATTAATGAGACTAGATATTCAAACTACTGTAAAAATTCTATACTTTTTTAAAAAAGCTTAGAGAAATTTTGAATTTTCATTCTTTTCATACTTAGTTTGTTTAAAATATTTTATAGAAATTAAGAATGAAATTCCTATAAAAATTTTACAGAAACTAGGAAGTGAAACCCCTGTAAAAGTTTCAAATTTATCTAAGGGAATGTAGAAAATTTAGAACTGAAATCCCTGTGAAAATTCCAAATTTCTCTAAGGAAATTTAGAACATTTGAAGCAAAAATCCTTGTAAAAATTCCAAATTTTTGTAGGAAAAATTTATAAAAGTTTGAAACTCATTCTTCTCAAACTTCTTAATTTTCCTAAGATATTGTAGAGGAACCAAGAATTCAAGTTCTAAAAATTCCACATTCCTCCAGAAAGTTTACATGAAATATAAGCTCAGATTCCTCTAAAACTTCTCAACTGTTCTAAAAAAGTCTAATTTTTAACTTTACTTTTTTTTTTTTAATTCGAATTCTCTGAAACATTCTTAACTCTAATTATTTATTATTTTAAATTATTTTATATAGAATTAAGTTTGCAATTCTAATCCTTGTATAAAGTCTAATTAAAATTTTCTTCAATATCTTCTGTTATAAAATATTTAAGTCAAAAAGAATAATTTTATAATTAAAAAAAAAACATAAATAAATGATTAAAANAGATAAAGATTTTTTTTTTCATTTATTTTGTTTTTGGTTTACAGCTTGTACTTCTCATATTATTTTTGAGGAAAAACAAAGAATTTTACCCCGTTATTTTTCTTAAATTTTTCATCCCACTCTTCCAATATTTTTTTTATACTTTATCTAATTTTTCCTTTATCTTAAATTCTTTATATATATCTTGCTTCATTTTACTCCAATTCTCTTCCCAGATTTATAAGAAAATAAAGCGATTCGGACCGAATATTTTTGTCTATGTTTACCTGAAAAATGAGGGAAAAATCTTAGAGAAAGTAAATAATGTTTATCGTAAAGGAACATGACTTTCTACCAAAAGAATTGATAATTAATTTAAATCGGATAATTATTTGCATGAGATGATAAGTCAATAAAATGCGGATATAATTACTCTAGAGATGATACTAAATACAATGAAAATTTTCCAGAGAATAATAAAGTGTTTATCGATAAAGGAAAATGTTATATAATTAATAGAATGAATGGCGTGTTTGTACAAAGCTGTTTTCACAGTTCTGCCAAGTTAATTTGACGCCTTGGCTATGCCATCAATTAATTGTAATCAAGCGTCTTGAATCAGTCGTGTCTTCAAACAAAGAACACTTTCACATCCTCTAACAGGTCAAAGTACGCTGTGTGTCAAGTGAAGTCAGGTAATTACCTAGCTGCAGGAGTCTAAGTTAGTTGTGTCACTAATTATCCGCTTCGGTGTATAGCGAGAGTGTCATGCAGTGAAGTACTATTCCACCCAAGATGCAAAAGGAAATTATCAGTTAATTAAGCTAAACTGTTACTTCTCGTATATAATAAGAAATATATCTGTAAAAATATCTTCGATAAATATTTTAAATTTTAAGGTATTTTATTTATTTTTTTTTTTACTCTTTCGAAAATGCCGCAATAACATCATTAAACCATTCTCCTCCTCCTCCTTCTCATTTTTTTTTTAATGTGATGCTTCCTCGTCTAATCTTCAAGAGACGATGCGTGTTAATGACAGTAAACTGGTTTACCTTAATGTAAAAATATGATTAGATTAAAGCTGATTTTCCTTTTCATCTCTTTCCTTATTTAAATAACGAAATAAGAATTTATATAACCTTTTCCAACTAAAGATTTATCATAATTAAGATGATTTATTATTAACAGCGAGCTTAAAATAACATTTGAGGAATTAAAATATCAAATTTGTCAAGTTATTAGAGTAACGACTAAGAAATTTATTATCTATAAAATATTTTAAATTTAACAAGAATTAAAAAATATATATATTTTTTTCTCCTTCTTCTTCTTCTCCTCCTCCTTCTCCTCCTCCTCCTCCTCCTTCTTCTTCTCAACTTTATTTTTTTTTTATTATTTTAATACAGTTAAATTATTTTCTCTTTAAATTATTATCATCCTCACTTATCTTAACATTTATTTAATGATTTTAATTTAAAAAATACACCAGAAAAATAATATATATATTTTTTTAAATAACAATTTCATTTATTTTATTTAAGTACTGTAATTATTATCATGTTGCCTTTTTATTTTACTCATCCCTCCTCCTATATGGTTTTTACTTTCCTAGCTGTTATATATAATAGAGGGAAAGTATAGCGATCGGTCAAAAAATGAGCCCCAGATTTTTACATTGTTGGACTCAGGGATCTTGAAACGACGAGAAATGCAAAAAAAAAAAAAAAATCGGGGATTTTTTCTGTATTTATGTATGTTAGTGTTGTGTGTAGTGGGGGCACGATTTTTTCACCCTGTTTGAAGCTTAATAACTCTTGTGCTTTTTTGTCAAAAATTTCTGAAATTTTGCAGAGAGGTTTGTGTATTAGGGGATTGATTCTATTAAATTTTGGTGTTTAAAGATTGGGGTTAGCAGATAGAAGAGGTCATGTGTCATATCTCGAATAGAGTCAAACTTAATAACTATTTTACTCATTATTATTATTTACAATGTTTTATAAAACCTATCTATCCTCAAAATTAAACATTTTTCCATTTNATAATCATGCATAAAGGATTTATAAATTATTTTGTAAAAATATCTTAATTGAAAATCACACGCACTCAGTTGCTAAGAGTCACGAAGAATGTTAATTATATTAAAAGAAAGTTTGAATTTATTAGTAATTAGTTTTACATTAGATGTTTTTCTCTTACTTTATTCAATATTTTCCCTATGCGAGTTAAGAGATATCGAGTCTCGTAAGGTTTTTAAACGCATTTATTATTTATTACACACGTTTAAAATTTATTTTAAAGTGATTTTAACATAATATTCTAATCACAAAATCATTATTTCGAAACAAAAAAAGTCAACAAAGCTTAATTTTTTAAGCACTTCTCTTGTTTCGCATCCTTATTTATCACCGGAGTATATAGTAGAATAGTTTATTTAGAGGTTGTTTAAATTAAAAATTGGATAAAAATTAAATCAAACTTACACCAGAAAGACTTTTTCTTCCATTTTGCTTAAGTTTCTCCCTAGAGGAAGCTTACGTCATTAACACAGCTCTTAACCTTCACCTCTACATACCACAGAGAGAGTAATGAAGCACTTAAGGTTTACACTGCTAATTGAAGTCTTTTTATACACCTTTCTATGTAGAACAACTTGTAATCTAATAGCCAGAATTTATTTAGAACTTTAATAAGATAACCTTTAAATAACAAAAGTACAGGAGGGTATATATAATCTGAATGCAATTTACTAAACGTGTCACTATCATTAAACAATAATTATTTAAAATTAATGAATTAATGTTTATAAATTATGAATTAATACGCTTTAAAAATCCATTTTTCTCTTTAGCTTCGAATAGCGAATCGGGAGAATGTCCTCTTGTTGGCATATACACAACAGAAGGATCCAACTCTCTCTTGATTCACGTCGATACACCTGATTTAGATACTTTGTCCTGTTCTCACGATTCTATCCTGGCTTCTGGTTGTTCGGCTGTAGATCAGTTAGAACTATTAGAAGAATGTGCCTCTGAAAGAAGAGTGACAAGTAAGTTTTTTACTCACTTTTCTACCCTCTTCTTTTGTCTTTGAATGATTATAGAATGGAACTCTCCACCTTCGACTCGTTTTTTGTTTTATTCTTTTGTAGAATTTCAATGTAGAGGAAGCTGGGAAGAAAATGGTACATACTACCTCATAGCCACAGCTAAAGAAACGAGAAAACATTACTGTATAGTGAGTTTTATATAATTAATTAATTATATTATTTAAAAGATATTTAACTGATAAATTAATTTATATATTTTCCAGACTTATACAGAAAAAGATAAGGTCTTACACTTTTCGGGGAGTACAGAAACCTGTTTGAGGAACATCGGAATAGAAAATTTTGTGGTTTTTAACGTCACTAATAGCGGTATATTATCATTTTTTAAATATTAAATTAACGTTAATCTATCTCGTGGATTAACATTTAATGAGTAGGCTAATATAAGCTATATTTTTATGTATTAATTGTACGAATCGTGTGTTTTAATGTATTCAAATATTAACAGGTCTGTGTATGGACACCAATGGTGCCACAAGACATCCAGATCTCACCTCGTGGATATCTAGTCTAATCTTTTTTCTAATTCTCACGCTAACATCTAAATGTGGAAGTCGGTGACAATAAACCAGCCATCGAGACGTCCCAATAACAGTGGATAGTGTGTGGCCATGTTTCTATCCAAAGAAGAAACACGTAAGACCACACGCGTACACCTAAGCATAAACACAAGTACACACACTATGCCGCCCCCTGTTGTAGCTGCAAGGACAGCAATGTTGTCTTCACTCATTTTATGTGTTGTTTTTTCATAATAACAATTCAGTTACCATTAGGTTTGTCAAAGACAGCCTTAAATCACTTTTTAGGTTGTCGTATATTTCTAGTCTCCACCTCGTTATGGAAAATGTGCTGCAGTGTGACTGCACCTGCTTTCCATTGTGCCCAGCCTTAACTCTAGTTGTAATCTGTTGACAATTAGAAATATCTAGATAAAAAAAAAATACCAAAAAAAATATACAAAAAAAAGAGCAGAATGTGGTCGAGTATAGTGTAGATTGTGAATTCGGGTTCGTACCCAAAGAGATTGTTGATATTGCACGATTGCTGTGATAGAATGATGAAAGCTCAAAGGACGATTGAAGGAGGGATTTAAGAGGAAAAATAAATCAAAGCTGTGGTTTCAATTGTCCTAGTGTTGCTGTTGGATTATGTATATATAAAACATACGTAAGCAACATCTTCAATCTTACTTTTAACAATGTAGTACGGTGCCTTGAACGCAGTTCGTAATTCTTGGAAATTTATTACGACCAAAAAAAAATAATAATAATAATTTCAAATAAAAAAAAATATATAAATGATTTGTTTAGGAAAGTTTTAAAAAAATCGACAAAAAAAAAAAATACTCAAAAATTTAAATAATTATTAAAAATTAAGCGACATATCGAGTCTCACGCATCTTCCTCCCGGCTTTACTTTCATATATTTTAATTTAATTTATATATATTTTTTTGTTTTTTGTAAATTTTAATTTGTATTGTTCGAACTGAAGTTAAAATAAAATGAAGTAGATGCTATTTAAAGTGTTGTCTTGTATTTTTATAACACAAAACTCTTGTCATTAACGAGTAAACTTTTGTATCACACTACGAAAATTAACATGTTAATTGAAGTTATATTATCTAACAATTAAAACTAAAAGATAATTATAAAAATGGCATCGTCAGCATAGATAAAGGGAGGAAATATTTTTCCAGAAAGTAAGCTTGCTAATGACAATCTACCTGAATAACATCTGCTAATAATAGAAGAGAGAATGTCATTTCTTTCAAACATTAATATGAGCAGTCATTTGTGAAGAAGGATTTTTTGAAGAGAAAGAAGTCTTCTAAATGTCATTACATAAAAAAAATAACTTGATAATATATAAGAAACACGTAAAATAATATATAATGGAAAAATGCTATTTTTAGTAACGTATCCTTAATGATCAACAAGATGAATTTTTCTACATTAGTAGAATAATTTTTAAAATATTTAAAATATTAAATGATTACGTATAAATATATAAATTTTTAATTAAAATATTAGCAAATTTGACTTAAAATTTAGCTTATAAAGATTAATTTATCAGTTTTCTCCAGCATCATCTTAAATTTTTATCTATAGAAAATAATTATAAAGTGTATTATTTTTTTTTAATATTAATAAATATATGAATAGAAACAACAAAATTTATTTAAATAAATAAATATTTTAATAATAAATGAACGAAATAATGATAAAATTTAGATTTATAAAGCTTGATTCGTTAGTTTTCTCCAGCATCTTATATCTTTGTCCATAGAAAATAATTATAAAAATAAAGAAAAAATAAAACTTTAGTAATGTATTTTATATAGAACTTTATATATATATATTTATTTATTTATACATACCATTTGCCATTGCGCAGCTTGGCTTGTATGGCCATTGCGCCAATAAACTCTAACAAACTAACTAACGAGTCCTTTAATTAAGTTTAATTCAGGGGCTCATTTGCATTGTGAATACAGAGCTTTAAGCAAATAAGCCCTGAATTAAGCTTAATTAATTGAGATAACTATCTATACGGACCAACTTTTCAGGACCTGCAGCTGTCATCCATCCCGAAACACTTGTAAAACAGAAAACGTCAATAAAGTTGTGATTTATAAAATGAACATGCCAATATGTTCGCAAATCACACTTAAATTCGAAGTTTCCAGCAAATAAACGTCAAAATTATACATCAAACGTTTTCGGCCACTGAATTTATTGGGCTTCTTCAGGAAATACAAACTGGAAAACTGTTTTATAAATAGAACTTAGCTGCCTTTTAAATTTTAAAATAACGAAAAACGGCTGTGACGTATCGTGTATGACGTATATCATGAGTCAAGATAGCGTTTTCACGCTGTTGATACAGGAATGACATTCGTGTTGATGCAGTTTTCACTTATGCTCGCCTTGTAGATCTCTACTGCCTCCAAAATTTTTATATCTTGTCTGTCGAAAACCTTGTGTATTAGCTTGACTTGGTCCCAACGGGGAACTCCCTGGATTGCTGGCATATCGTGCTAAAGCCGTATTGATGTTACCTTTTAGCACGTCATATTTATGATCTTTTAGTCTTGCTTGTAGAGATCTGTATGTGGATCCTATGTAAGATAGTAATCTGTCAAACCTCTCGTTATATAACGGGATGTGGTAAATTTCAGGAGCCAGAGCGTCTTCAGTGTCGTCCTTTGCGTTTGTGAGAAGGCGGAAAACGGTGGGTTTCCTTCTATAGGTAAGGAGTACGTTTAAATTATTTGC